AGGTTTTGTCCGTCTCTTACCGACTAAAAAACACCTGTAGGCTGCCTATGGCCGGGAAGGCCTACAGGGCTACATACGATCGTCCGTCGTCCCCCAAAGGGGAAACGGCGCATATAACCGCCGATCTTTTCAAGTCTTTATAAAAACGCTACGATAAAACGATAGCGCGGTTCAGAAGCCGTTGTTGTTTGTTACTCGTAGCTTTGTGGAACTAATGACATTTTATTGTTTTTAAGCTATTGTATAGCTTTTATCTCGAGCTTTGAGCGCGGCGACCGAATCAAGAAATTCCATAACGAAGAAAAACCTTACAAGAGTGCATATACCAATAGAACATAATTTTCGCCGTTCCAGTATCAATCTAAACGGCACACTGTGTTAAATATTTGCCACGGTACCAACGTTCGACGCATCACCGCGGTCGTCGGTTCAAATTACGCGCTCGTATTTTTTATTTTTTTATTATTATTCTTTTCTTTTTTTATATATTTGTTTAAGACCCCAGCACCTGTTCTTATTGCACTCTGCCAGAATATTTAGAATATGTATTCATTTTATAAAAAATATTTTCTATCTTTTTCTTTCTTTCTTTTAACACCCCCCACTCCGACCGTCACAGCGGTGCGGGCGTTGAAAGCCGTGCATCGTCTCACGTCGTTTCATTTCGGCAGACTTCGGCACGGTGTTTGTGTGCGTGCGACTAGACGTATACGTACGGGTGCGGCCAGAGTGCACTCAGATTCAGACTCAGATTCAGATTTCGAAAACAAGCGCGAGAAATAAACAGTGTAGTCTAAGCAGGTTGCTTGCTTTTTCTCGCGCTTTGTTTTCTGAGTCTGAATCTGAATTTGAATCAGGAGTGCAATCTGGCCGTACCCTTCGACTACACTGTTTATTTCTCGCGCTTGTTTTCAGAATCTGAATCTGACTCTGAATCTGAGTGCACTCTGGCCGCACCCTATGTGTGTAGACTAGCTGCTTACTGCTCATAACTGATTGGTGTTTGGTGAGACAGCGTGCTTTTTGACCGCATCCGTGAGTGAGTTCGAGCCCGCGACTAGTTGAACCTTAACGTGCATGTTTATGGTACGACTGTAAGAAGCTCGTGTGTAAGATAATAAAAATAATTTAAACAATATTAACTATTCATTTATTCAATAAAATAAAAAAAATGTTTTCTTATCGGTCATCACGCTCAAAAAGTGTAACATGAATTAATATCAAAGATAAACTTGAATTAATATTAAAGAAAAAAAAACTACATTCATTAATAATTATAATTGCATAAGTTATTAAAAATGCTATGCAATAGCTTTAATTTTTTCAAATATATTTTTAGATTTTGTTTCAATACAAGATTTTATGCTACAATAACTTCATCTTTGCCTTTTGGAATTTTCAATAGGTAAGAAATTTTCTTTAACCAAAGCGGAACGACTATATATATCTCTTAAACTCACAAATCTATCTTAACCGTTATAATTTTCCTTAACAGTTCATGAAAAGCATTATCATGATTTTTTTTTCAAGCTTTTGAAGCTAATAGTTTAGCTTTTAGAGGGAAGGGGGGCCTACTCGAACAAAAATTATCACTTTAAAGTTGAACATTTCGCACAAGGATCCCTTAATCGAAAAATAGTCCTAGGAACCCCTAAGTAAATAATAAAAAAGGACCTACTTATCTAACACACGAAAGAAGACGATGAAAAAAAATTAACCCCAGGTTACATGTACGGGAGTAACCCTAAAAAAATATTTTTCAAAATTTTATTCTACCATTTTGTCGGCGTGATTGATATACATATCTCCACAAAATTACAGCTTTCTAGTACGAACAGTCTCCAAGCAAAAGCGGGGACAGACAGACGGACATGACGAAACTATAAGGGTTCCTTGTCAAGACTATGGAACTCTAAAAAGCGTAAGTATCTTTTTTATTAAAAGTTACACTTTAGATGGATGGCTCTTCGTTTAAAAATAAGGTTATTTTTTGGAAATAATATCAAAATCAGAGGTAATATAAATATGTATTATCAATAATGTAATTTTTCACTAAATTTCGTAGAAAAAAAAATTGATGCAATAATAATAAATAACCAAAAAGTCGGTTATTTCGATTTTTCTCAGATATTTTTTGGGTTATATGAAACTAAGTGTAAATACAAAAGTAGTAGATATTCTGATTATCTACAATGATCTCTTTATTTTTTTGATACGATTTTCCCGAAAATCGCATTAAAACCGTTTTTCCCCTTAAAAACTTAGCTGGATTTTTTAATAAGTTCTCTTCTTTTGGTATGGGTGTGAAACCCCCCGGTTCCGATTTTTTTTTTGCTCCCAAATTTCATTCAATTGCGTCCAGCAGTTTTTGCGTGATTAAGTAACAAACATACACACATACAAACTTTCACATTTATAATATTAGTTGGTTTAAAATTTTAGAAATACATAGCGTTGCTGTTCTAGAAGTCAACTAAATAGCTTTTAAGTATATTTACGATGTGCAATAATTTGGAGATTCTTTAAATTTATATACACAAGAAATATATTACAATGTAAAAATATTGCTGATTATAACATTTTGCTACAGTTACTTACGATTTGTAGTTACTACGAAAAAAATACTCTTGAACCATGTTTAAGAAATGTTTGTATAAAGTTGTCTTCTAAGCTCATGTTCAAAGCCTGACTAACTTGAATAGTAATTTACCGCATAAAGCTCACATTACCCATTACTGCTGGTGAAAAAAAATCTTTAAAAGTCTTTAAATGGTATTAAAATCTTTGGTAATTACGCGTTTAAAAAGCATTTTACGTTCTCGTCTTTCAGTTACGACGCTTTTACCGGTATCTACGTGATGCAAAAAACGTAACCTGTTGGGTTAATGGGTCACTGCGAAATTCAAGGGGAGGAGAACAGTGTCAAACTAAGGGCACTTTCTTTAACTTTCTTCATATTTTATTATTATTTTTTAAGCATTTAACTGCTAGGTGTTGGAATCTAAAGAAAATTGTTACTAGAAAGAAATTCCCCCGGATAGCGGAGGTTGCGAGTTCGAGTCCCGTCTGCTTACAGGACAGCGTGGATTTTTTTCTTGTAAAAATATTCTTTACTTTCTTATTCTTTTATATTTCCAAAACATTCTGCTCCTAATATTTTTTCTGCATATTTAAACAGCGTTTATAAAAAAAATACGAAAAAAATAAAAGTACGTGTACCTAGCTTTATTTTTTTGGTGGTCTGATAGGTCTGAGTTCCCATTTACTACTTGGCCTGGCACTGGCACCGACTCCAAATATTAATTTGACTAAAGATAAAAAAGGTTTATTATTTTTTACTTTTCGGCGGTTTAATTTTTTTGTTCAAAAGATTTTATTAAATTACTAATTGTATATAAGCCACGTTCTCCATGTCAATAATATTATCAGTTTTTATTTAATTTTGAAGTTAATTGTATAGTGTATTGTAACGGGGTTCCATGTTTGTATTTAATGTATTAAATTTTAAGACCTTTTATTCCATGGAAACAACAAATATTTGCCTTGAATTAAATTGAAATCGCAAGCTTTATTTTTTCCGTATTGTTGAAATACGAAACAATTGAAATACGCAAACTTGAAATACGCAAACGATAGATTCTTAAATAAATCTCAACGTAATAGGCAAAAAAAATATGTAGTTTTATGAAACCACGGTGCAAGTTAATCTTTTAATATCAGTAATAATAAAAGTCTTTCCTCGGTTCGAAATCGAACCCGGGCTGCCCGCGTGCGGAGTAGGCAAACTTTCTACCACTGAACCACCGACGCTTGCTGGTAAGTTCTGAATTATTTAATAACAATTAAGAATGGAATGCGACATGCTAGATATGTTAGAAAGAAATTGAGGCGATGTACTTTAGTACATCTACTTAAAGTGTAACTTTTAAGTTTCACTTTAAAAATAAAGATTTCACTTCGACATTCGGCTACCCAAATACATACAATTAAACGGTTCTCAAAACAATGTTTCAGTGTTCAACTCAATACTATCATTTAAGATAGATGTTCTTATATTTTTTCCGAATATTTAAACAGCTTTTGTAGAAGTTCTTTTATTTTTTATCGACAGCTGTTCCCCCCTCGTACTTTTCTGGGTGCGTGCCTGACTTCGCCGGCAGGCAAAGCGCACACCACACACCCGTCTCGTGGTCTCGAACCGGTGCCTACGTGACGTCGGCCGCGTGGCTGAGCGACTGGGAGGGGGAAGCCAGTTTGTTTTGCTGCGTGCGCAACCGGTTTAGGTGTGGGCCGTTGAAATGTCGATAAGTTCATCGTCTTAACTCTAAAGTCCTAAGTTAAAAACTTAGTTGCCGAACTAGAAAATTCAAAATAATAGCTTAGGTAGTTCACTTACACGTGTTTGCATATCAAAAAATTCCATAATCATTATCAGCCTATTAATGTCCCTACTGCTGTATAAGGCTTCCCAATGAAAGAATAGGAAATGAGTCATGATGACCCTCAATGTGTGATGTGAATTAGTCTGACGACCGCAGATGTAGCGAAGACCAATAGCGTATGTACCAAAACACGGAAGAGCTTGAAATTATTTATTTTGATTACCCATCCTATGTCCACCATTGCGAGAATTAAATTGCGAAACATATGCGAAAATTAAATTCCATTATCGCAAATCGAATGCGCTAACCGATGTGCCATTTAATTCCTCTTGCCATTTTGCATAAAACGAAATCAACTGTATTGAAAACTTTTATAACAACAGAATAATAATACAACAACTGTCCACAGCGAATGATATAACAGGAAAATTTGATAAGTACTAAATTAGCAACGACTGTTGATAATGTTCGTCGACGACACGTAAAGACAGCCAGTAAAGGCTGATAACGTTATCGATGTCGATAAAACTGATGTAAACATAGCATTGTACCGCACTACATCAATTATTGCTTATTTTGAGTCGCGCTGGAACAGGCAAGTAGGCAAGCAAAACACAACAAAGAATCAGTCGGTCATACAATACCGTGGTGAACAGACACTCGCACATAACTGTGAACTTTTTGGAAACAATATCATTTACATTCAACGTCGCAATTGTTTTGACATTAACTACTTATAGTTCAAGAATTTTATGAAGCAAGATGTATTCAACGAAGAAGAGTTTGGATCTCCTGATCAGGATCTATAAGAATGAAATCCGCCGGCAAATCAGCAAGACGACCAGCGTTAGCAACTCTGATGCGATGGCTCCAAGACTCGACCAGAGCGTAAATAAACCACAACAGAATGACGAGACAGGAGTGCCGAAGAAGCTTCTGAAGTTGCAGAAATACCACAGGTCAGTGAACTCTCAAGAACCGCATATCGTGTCTTTCCGTGCAATATATCTTATTTGGCACCTACATAAATATTTGCGCAACACAGGAAGCCATATCGAGTAACTACCGCGTAGATTTTCAATTGTTTCCAATTCAAATCAATTAAAATACCATGCATTTCAATATCAATGAAACTGTAATGACTTAGGTACTTTAGTAACTATGTAGGAAAAAGCTAAGTTACATTAATAATTACTGGATAATGTATGTTTTACTAATGTCTGTTGGAACGAATGTCTTATTATATATGTAGGTATTATTTTTCAAATATGTTACCATCACATTGCATTTTTATGCATTAAAAAGAATTAAATAATTTTATTTGAAACTTTAATTAAACATAAAATAGAAGAAAAACATCGCAGTGAATAATCTTGGAAATTTACATGAATTGATAAAAACAAACAATTATTACGGAACGCCTGTCTTTTACAAATACTAGGTCAATGTAAACCTTGGCTTTTAAATCTTAACTGAATAGAAATGTTCAGTACAGTATGGTCTCTTTAACTTATTAATTAAAAAGAAGACGCTACTTCACGGTTCTAAAAATATGTCCCCTAATAAGTACGACATTACAAATTCAGAAATAGTCAACGTCATGTTGTCATGAACAGAAGGTTAGATGTAAACACATATTTAAATAATTAAAATAAAAGAAGTACAAAGTTCACAAAATCTAAATACCTAAGTACTTACCTAGATATGGGCAAGTAGCAATTAGATAATTGGCAAAGTAGCAAAAACTATCATCTTTCTCTCGTAGATTATCTTGTCATCTAGGTAGTATCTAATTAAAGTAGCAAACACGACAATCTTTCTTCCGTAGATTCCTGTCGACCCTGACTCCGCAGGAAATGCCAATGGCGACCCGTGGACTGGCCGTCTCCAAGGATCAGTCCAGGGAGTTCATGGCTTGCTTCCCAGACATCATACGGGACCTCACTGAGACTGGCAAGCACAATGATGTGCCCGAAGCTAGCAAATGGTTGGCTAAGGTACGCATCACTGATAGATTATACCGCATCGAACCATTAACAAAATGTCTGTAGCGTTATAAAAAGGTATAGCTAGCAGTGGTAGCTTGCAATGATCAGTCGACGTGATAGCTTAAATATAGCGACGCCTCAGTTCTGTTGCTAACTTGACACGCAAATTGCCCATTTTTAAAGATTCAGGAGTCTTAGACAAGTGTAATTCTTTATATTTCATTGAAAGATAACCATAATAATCCATTGTTTTTTGTGAGTACCCGATCATTCGGCACTGTTGCCGCCTTGATCACGGTGATCTCCGTGATAATGGCGCTTCCAACAGAGCTGAAATGGTGGGGACTCAAATAAAACATACATGGTAGCAATCCTGCTAATAACTATAATTTAATTTTAAGGTTATCATTCAATATCTAGTGACTATAAAAGTTCTATATGTTAGTTAAAATAACCAATTACATGTCGTAAGCTTCAGTTAATCAAACATTTTATTTACAACTTTCCGTTAAATAAATCGAATCATAATTTTAAAGTTTATTGCATATTTTTTTACCATCAAGTTAGCATGCCTTTTCTGGAATAGAAAGATGACTGCGCTTGTCTAAGACGCCAGGAATTGTAATTATACTAAATACTTTAATAATGTCTGGCACACCAGAACGGGGGCCCAAAGACAGGTCTCGTTAGAAATCAAAACAGGTTTTCATTGCGACGTTTAAGTCTATTTATACCACTTGAGATTTTCTTAAGTAAACGTGTTTGTGTTGCTAACATAACAGTAGTACCTATTCCTTTGAGTTGATATTTTATATTTGGTTTATTTTCACTGGGAACAGCACGGTAGGGTGCACCTGTTTGTACAACAATGGTTGGTCCGTTGGTTTTACTTTGATCCCGGCTTTCAATGGATTCTAGGTATAAAAACTGGTCTACCTGCGAAGACTACAAAAGCCAGTGTCCATTAATGGCGTTTTAATATAGATTCGTATTACATAGTATTTAATTATTCACCATACATACATAGTCATGCATATACAAAGGCCACCTGTACAAACATCTAATGGTATAATGAGTTTTATTCGATTCCTTAGACGTTGTAAATCTTTTATTACCCACTAGATGTCATACATGAATTATTGCTTCGAAATTCTATTTCATTTATTTAAATTTACAAGGAATTTGGGCAAAGTAACATTAGAATATGCAATTTTATTAACTACCTAAGTTTAAGTTCATAATTAGATAATAATGAGCGTTCATTTTGAACCGACTTTAAGGTACGTCCTTAATATAAAAACAATGTTTCGGGTAAAACCAATTTCTGCGGACTCTATTTGTGCCACAGCACAGACAACGAAGGGTTTAAAAGTATTTGCTTATTCAAAAACTATGTTTTGTTGCAGCTGTTACAGTACAATGTGCCAAACGGGAAAAAGAACAGGGGTCTCGCGACGGTCCTCGCGTACAAAATGTTGGAGAAACCCGAGAATTTGACGCCAGAGAACGTCCATCTCGCAAACATTATGGGATGGTGCACTGAAATGGTGAGTAGAAAATAATTAGAAAATTTCGTCGACCCATCATGCTAACATGATGTATGTTTGAAAAATTATGAAAATAAAATAATCTTGAAATGTTAACTAACTATACAATTAATTAGGTACGTAAAAAAATAATGTCAAAATTTTATATTTTGTTTAATTTATTTGAAAATTAACCATTTCTAGAAAAGCGCGTGAAATATTTACTCAAAGAGGAAGATAACAGCTAACCTAGCTAGCTACCACAGATTGTCACAAATATTATCTATCACTGATATGTAGATAACAACTACTGTTAATAGTACATTAAATAAATTTGCCAAAACATTATTGTTATTGGAAAGGTAACCCAAATCGAAGTAACCTTCATTTACTTACTTACTTAGAAATAGGTAAATACTGTAGTTACCATAAAAAAATCATTGCAACACCATTTGTTATTTAAGTAAGTACTTCATATAGGTGTTCTTGTCAGTTTTGTTAGTAAACGTCATGACTGGATCAAATTTAAAAAGTTAGATAACACCTACTCCAATCAAACACCGTTCTGACCTTGAATTCCATTTGGACAAACGATATTACAGGACTGGTTTTTTATCTGTTATTTTTTTGGACCTCGAATGATAATAAAATGCAAACAATACGACGCGACAGCCGCGCCACCACCGCTGGCGCCGGTTTTTATCACGTTGTAGTTACTCTGTATCAGCTTATTGGAAATCTGTGACTTTGCGACATTTTCAACGACTTAGCTTAATAACTTTTGATTAATCTCCCACCATCAGTGCATTACAGCGCACCGTAATATTAACTATGTATTTATTAAAAATAATAGTGAAAAAAATGTGCAGTCAAGCCGTTTCAATAATGAGTACCATAGTGGCATTTGATTTTAAATAAATTTAAATATTCCTCACCAATAAGGCCAGACTCGAAGTTAGCACTTTCTACCTATTATAAATAACGTAATAATATAAGGTAACGGAGAGAAGTAGAATACATTTTAATGACACTTAGATAGTACCTATTTAAGTAAATACTTAATTGTAGAAATGTATATAAACAGATATAACTGAGGTAGGTACATAAAAATGCTTGCATTTATTATACATAGATACACTTAAATTACCTCTTCCTTTTTCTGAATTCGATTCTAGAACCTCCGAGTAGGCGACACTTTGAATATGTGTTTAATTAAAATTAGATACTTGGAATTATGGAAAGGAAATGGTAGTGGAACAATATCTTTCAAAAATTTTATAATGGTCATAGAACACAGACTCTCCAGATTGTAACAAATTAATTAGCATGAAGGTTCTTCTTCTTCAGCCGCATTTTTCAACCATCTTGATGTAGGCCTCCCTCAACAACTTCCATTTATTGCGGCATCGTGCCCTCTGTATCCAATTCGAGACTGCAACCTTCTTCACGTCTTCCTTCCAGCGCATCGGTGGTCTTCATTGTGGGCGCTTTTTGCCCCACTGATTCCATTCTAGGAGATGATATAAAGGTTACATAACTTGATATTCTTTTTCTCACAGTTCCACACACACGAATGGTTGCTGAACGACATATTGGACGGTGCTGAAACGAGGCGCGGCGCCCCGTGTTGGCACAAACGCCCCGAAGTCGGCCTCAGCGGCATCAACGATGCGGTACTAGTCCAGGCAGCTATGTACTCCACCCTCAAACGATACTTCTCCAGCAAGCCCTACTACAAGAACGTTCTGGAGACATTCAACGAGGTAAAACTACTGCTAGTTAAAATTACTTTAGTAGTTAGAGGTGTTAAATGATGCAGTGATTAGCGCGTTCGATCTGCGCAATTGCTCAACTTTTCTTAACGTACTTCTGTCTGCGCTTGTAGTAGTAGCTTTTCTTAACGTGCTTCGTAGGGTACGTAAACCGGAAGTTAAGCAACTTTTCTTAACCTGTTTCGTATGGTAGGTTAACCGGTTCGTCCCAGCTAGGCTACATCTGCAGTTGTTAGCACCCACCAATACCGCACTTGGCCTACTTAGGTCATGTCACGGCCCATTCACCCTTTCCATCCATAGGCCTATGCACCAGCACTGAAAGCATTAATTGGCTGGGGGTTTCTTTCTCCAAATCGAATGTTCGGTAACGAAGTTCATTTAGTTTTTCGTTGAATTAAAGGAGGCCTCCTGATGATGATGAACACAAAAATTAACTTGCCCATACATTACGAAAGTAGAGTAGAGTAAAAGTCAATGTTTGACCTCTAACAGTGACCGACAGTATTCAGTATTCCGTAGTTTACAAAACTAAATTAGGTAGGTACCGTATAAGCAATGAATTCGATTACAAGTCGTTAAATGATAATAAATTAACACCACGCTACTATGTCGTGCGTGCTACGTTATTAGATGTCATATCTACAAATAAATATGAAGCAAGTTATGTAAAACGGTTGATATCGTTTTATTTTATTGGGATGATAACAGTTTTCTTTATTTCTCTATCTACATTACATTGTTTACATATAATACATAGATACTGATATTGTAAATTCATTCCCTGATCCCAGTACCTACTTCAACTCTGTCTGTTTCACGCCTTAACCGCTGATACCAATTTTGAAAACACGAAGAAGGAGGAAATATGTTTCTAAATTAATTTGGATAATTGACTAATCTACCTAAACTGACGAAGTTCGACGAGTCGTTGCGGTAATTCTATATATAGAAATAATAAAATAATACGCCAGATTTACGAACGTTATTTAATAATATTGTAAACAACTGTTAATTAAACTCGAATGGAATGAGTTTAATTAATCATAACTTTTTTCTTTTTCAGATTCTAATGAAATGTACGATTGGACGCTTTATGGACAACTCGCTATCGAAAACCGATAAGCCGGACTTATCGCAATTCACAATGGACAAATACGGTGCCATAACGAAATACAAGAGCGCGTACTACACATTCCAAATGCCGGTGACTTTGGCGTTGCTGATGTCTGGTGTCGATGACCCGGAGACGCACAGGCAAGCGAAGACCATCCTCTTGGAAATGGGCGAATTCTTCCAAATCCAAGTGAGTACCAATTTTTTCCAGAAAAAAACTTTAATAATTTATACTTTACGTGCGATCCGCATCATGGGCGATGAGGACGTGACTAAATACCACGAGCCTCTTCAATTACCGTGCCGTGACGTGGCGTCACTAAGCGCGTTCTATCGTCTGTACCACGGCGAGTGTTCTGAGGAGTTATTCTCCCTTATTCCACCTTCCCCTTTCCTTCAGAGGACCACGCGCGCTGACCTACTTTGCCACCAACTAACTGTGACCACAATTTCAACGCGTTCAAAGAAATTTGGTGACTCATTTCATTGTCGCACTATCTGTAAATGGAATGCTCTGCCTACTCACGTGTTCCCTCCCTCTTACAACCTGGGATCCTTTAAAAGAGACGTGAAGAAGCAACATGCAGGCCGGCAAAGTGAGGATGGCTGATGTGGTAGGTAGAACTGCTGTACCAGCTATCTTCACGTCTGGACTTCACCATCACTTAACATCAGGTGGCGTGGAGTCATTTGTCGGACCTATCTATAAAAAAAATAGATTTACGGTCAGTTTCAATACTAAACCCCCAGTAAAAGGGGATAATCTAGTTCCAATTCTTAGCAGCAATTGTTATTATAATATAAATAATATAAATCTCTAGGCAAAAAAGCTAGCCCTATACCTTTTCTGAAGTTTGATCAATGAAATTGACCATAAATGCCTATATATAAAAACGCTATCAAGCGCAAATAATATCAATCCGTATCTGGAAACTTTCATTCAATTCTTTTCAAATCTTCTTCTTAGTCCCGTGCCTTACCTATATCTTTTGGGACGTCCCTCCTAGCCTTAATTTTTGCAAAACTGATAGGATTGACGAGTCCACTATATTGTAAAATTCTTCCTTACTTTATACTTGTTCAACTATCATAACGTAGGTGTGCAACTTATTTGACTTTACCAAAATAATATTATCTTTTTCAGGACGATTTCCTCGATTGCTTTGGCAATCCAGCAGTCACAGGTAAAAACGGCACAGACATCCAAGACGGAAAATGCACCTGGTTAGCTGTAGTAGCACTGCAAAGAGCCACTCCGTCCCAAAAACAGATTATGGAAGAACATTACGGAAACTCGGCGCCAGAATCAATCGCCAGAATCAAGGACTTGTATGAAGATTTGCAGTTACCTCACACATACTCAGTATTTGAAGAAACAACCTATGATCTCCTTAGGACACAAATCCAACAAGTCACGAGAGGCCTTCCTCACGACTTATTCTTCAAAATATTAGATAACATCTTCAGGCGAAACGTCTGAAGATCTCATTATTATAGTTACCAACTTAGTACCTACTGAGTGGTTAAACAAATTTTAATGATCTTTGCATAGTTATAAGGTTTAGATAAGTATTGAAAAACTCTATTTAAATTATATACTTATGTGATTTTAAGAGACATGAAATTAGTTGAAGAGAAGTTACAAGTGATTTAGGCATTTTATTCTATTGGATATGTACTGTACTTACGCCACTAATCACGAAATTACTTATGTACCTACTATAAAAACAAAAAATACAAAAAGGAAATTTACTACTAGAGGCTCTAGGAAGTAATTTATTTAAAAGTTTATCGAGTAGATAGATAAACATTTTAGTGAAATATAATACTATCTTCGAGTTCATTTAAGTACCTACTCTTAGATATCTTTTATACATACATAAGTAATGTACAACTAGTCTTTAAAGTGATTGTGAAATAAACTTTAATATTATAAAAAAAAAAGTTTCCAATATTAATTAAAATGATTAAAATTAATCTGATGTTTCATTTAAAATAAACCTGTCATAGTACAATACAACAGTAGAGGCGTTGGGGGGGGGGGGGGGGGGGGTTGATCGCCTTGCTCTCTTAAAAACCGACTGATTTATTCAATATAATAATATGTACTACAATTTACTGAGTACTGAGTGATTTAATATGTATTTACTAATTCATAAGTTGCAAGAGTTTAAAAAGATAGCTTATCTATAAATCGCGATAAATGAAAATAAATAATGTTATTATTCATCGTAAACGATTCTGCCGACCCTCCGAGTATAGAGAAATTCAACTGTTCTATGTATCTATTGATATTTTAGTTCATAAAGTTATATTCATGTAAAATGTATTAAAAATAATTTACGTCAGGGCGTTTGTTAAAGAGTGGTTGCAAAATCGCGCCTAGAACCGGGAAGAAATCGTTTCGTTAACAAGCGCCATTCCTTACAGAAAACTCATTCTTATCAATTACATTACATGTAGTGCAGTCATTGAAGCATTATTGCTCCGAATTTTTTTACTGTGAACCGAATTGCATACAATTTTAGAATTAGGTTCATCTTACCCTTAACTTCAAAAGTGAAAATGATTTGAACTCCGCAACCACCCTGGGGGTGGTTGCCACCCCTTCTCGGTGGTGAATTTTTTTTTTCAAAATACCCTCGGATATCGATAGAAAGCCTTATTTTAAGCAAAAAATCATCTACAAAGTTTTTCAAAAAATCCAATACTTTTCAAGTTATTGGCAATTGAAAATTCAAATTTTTTCCCCGTTTTTCATCGGTTTTTTGCAAATATCTCCAAAAATATAAGATTTATCGAAAATTTTATAAAAACCAAAATTGTAGCAGGTAAAACAATGAACAATTTGGTTTTTTATAAAGTATTCTAAGTGCAATATTAAGCTAGATATTAAAGATCAAAGCCGTTTTTTATTTTGTCTGAAATTTATTCGATGTGGTCAATGCCATCTAGCGGCGAGCAGATGCATTTTATGCATTCTAATACAAAAGGGTTTTGTAGTGCTTGAAATAAGCTTTAAAATGAGCACTATTAAAAGTCTTTTGCACCTAAAATAAGTGAGCTGTATTGCAAATAAGGGGAGCATCTAATCTTTTTTCTTTTAAATCAATGGGTTTCATAAGGGCCATTTCCACCAAAATTAAAATTAATCGTATTCCGCCTAGAATTAACTTTATTATAAAGAGTATGATAGATAGTATCAGTTTGGCTGCTTCAGGACACATATTTTTCAAAAAAGTCACGATTAAAAGAAAAACCAAAATTTCAAATTTTTAAAAAACCCACTTTTTTTCATAATATCTCAAAAATGACGACAGATACGTATAAAAGTGTACGGATTAAAAATTTAGGTATTTTTCTGACAAACAATTTGGTTCTTTTGTTTTTTCTGTCAAAATAAAATTTACGGAGATATGATTGTTTAAAGAGCGCGTGGCAGCGCAATCACAGCCTCTCTTAAGCCCTTTAACCCTTCACTGTTTTAGAAAAAGGGTTTTTAATATATATTGCAATGAAGGATGTTGTAGCTCTCTTAATTACCTTTACAATGGTTTTACATAAATTGTGATAGCATGAAAATTGAAGGAGTTATGGTCCAAAAACTTATCATATTTTTTTCTACTTAGTAACTGAAAATTTCGGAGTGTGAATATTTGGAGCAATGTGAAAGTACGCAGTATAATAGAGACCCACAACTATTGTAATGTGTATAAATATACATAATATGGCTCATATATTTTGGAAACGTAGGCATGAATACATACCAACGTTCTTATATGTATATATAACACATTTCATCATCATCATCATCATCATTCATCCAACGGATTGGGGGTGGGTCATGAATGACGGTTTATTAAATCCACTTTAGTCTGTAGATCCACCCGCACCACAAGAACTGCTGAAAATGATTTTTTGCAAGTGCAAAAAAGGATGTGGAGCGTCTTGCGGATGCAGAAAAGTTGGTCTGTTTTGTAATAGTACCTGTGGAACGTGCAGTGGAGATAACTGCCAAAATAGCCCTCCAATTCAGCCAGAAGATGTTGAATGTGACAGCGACTCCGACATTGAGTCATCAATAATAATATTATATTTTAATAACTAGTGGCCCGCCCTCGCTTCGCTTCGGTGTAGAGCTGTAATGTAAACTATAGTTTTTGTTCTCAGGCTAGTGCTATAAACAATGACTTTATTTATATAATTACACGTGTTATTGTGAGTCAACCATAAAAGATAGACATATGCTGTTGCGGGATATTTTTTAGACAATTTTATGTAGAATATTTCCGTTATACATGATTTCTATGTAACTTTAACCATTAAGGCTGCACACGCGACGGAAGCTTAAAAAATGGAGTAACTTCTCCCGTTTTCCCAACATTTCCCTTCAGTACGCTGCTGCTATTGATTGTAGCGTGATGAAAAGTATACAATAACCTGCCCAGGAGTATGAAGAATAATTGTACAAAGTTTCGTTAAAATCCGTCGAGTAGTTTTTGTTTGTATAAGGAACATACACACAGACAGACAGACAGACAAAAATTTTACTGATTGCATTTTTGGCATCAGTATCGATCACTAATCACCCCCTGATAGTTATTTTGAAAATATATTTCATGTACAGAATTGACCTCTCTACAGATTTATTATAAGTATAGATATAGATAATAGCAATAAATGGCAATTTTTTACTCTAAATTAAATTATATTTAAATATGTAATATATATATGGGTTGAAAATGATTTTAATGTGAGGTAATTATGTTAGAAAATACTTTACAATTTCATCACTTACTATTAGACATGTTTTCTAGCGATAAAATGGCTCAATGTCAATTTTTCCACTAAGGGGTTGTTTACACCCCTTAAAAATAATAGGCGGAGTTCAGATCATTTTCACTTTTGAAGTTAAGGGTAAGATGAGCCTAATTCCAAAATTTCATGCAAATCGGTTCACAGTAAAAAAAATCGGAGGTAAGACCGTATTTTTCGCTTCAATGACTGCACTAATGCACTTACGCCAATTGTTATAAAAAAACAGATATTCGTCACTCTCCTTCCAATTACCATTAGTCTAGAATGACATTAGTCTTCTTCTTCCTCGTTTCCTCATGACACACTGGTATTTATGTCCAATTTATATAAGATCGAAACGTTAGTGCGACGCGCTGTCTGCGGGATCCATAATATTCTCCGCCATTACCACACCTCAAGTGTCTTGTATTTTGTTTCTAACATGTGCTTTTAGTATCTCTAAAGTATAAATACATAAATAACGAGAAGACAAGGGTGTCTATGAGATTGACTTTGCGCCGCAGAAAACTCGGCCAGAGCGCTCGTAGTACTAAAACCGACCCTGACACATAGTACAGTCAATCTGTCGAAAAAAATATCGTTTCAGTGAAAAAAAAACCGCTCTATTGGATTTTTCATACCTGCGCAATTTATAACTTGGAAACGGTAAGTAATACAAAAAATGGGTGCGTGTACTTATGTAGGCGCGTGAGAAGTTATCCTTCTTTGGCATCGTTTAAAATTAGTTTTTAATTGCATGCAAATAATTAATTACAATAAATTAAGTAATAAAAAGTCTGGAAAAGGACACAGTCAATAAAGTTCAGTTTTAATTTGAAAAAATAAATAAATAATCAAAATATTCAATTAAAATCGCTACTGAATATAATTTACTAGAACATATGTGATTTGCACTTGTATGAAACTCAAACACGTATTCCGAATATACAAACTAGAAACAAGTGGATAAATATTATAAATATGAATACCTATAACTGTTACTTTATTACAAAAAATAAAGATGTGGTTTTTGGTTCTACTACACCAATGGTCAAGAGATGGCGCTGTAGTCTCCTGAATCGCGCTTTGGTTCCGTTGTTCCAGATTAATAAATACTTTTGATAGGCCTTCACAATGCAGTCGTTAGCACCCTCTAAATAGAGATTCTATTTCTATTTTGTTGGTAGATTATCTTAATGTGCGGTAAACACAAAAGTAACAGCATCAGCAGCATGAAGTTGGTCGCTAAAGCGACCAACTTCATGCTGTTAATATTTTGTGTTACAGTGATGCGCGCGCATCTTAAAATTTCACTCTCATCATTTTTTTCATAACGCGCCTAAAGAAGTATAACTTCAAAAACTTGTTTATACAAAAGTTGTTGGTAATTATGTACGAAACAACTTAGCCATTTAAAGTTTTCCATTAAAATAATATTTTCAGGGTGAAAAAGTGAAAAAACACTTTTTTTGAGACTTTAGCGCCGAGAAAATGCGCATTTTTTGCTGTACGAGATTGCAACAATGACATAAATTGTAGCACTCAACGCCCTCTACAATTATGGTCGAAAAAAAAGTTTCTTAAATGCATAAAAAACAAGAAAAATGCGTTTCAAAAAATTTTTGACGGTTTTTTGAGTTTTTCAAAAAACGCCTACGAGTTGAACATGCCCATCGCCAAGGTGGCTTACTGACGTCATTTGGCAACAGAAAAAACAAGACTTACCCTTTAGGTTTTTTTTTCACCACTCAACCTACAGATTGACTGTACTAACACGAAAATAAAAATAATAGTGTTAGTAACGGCTTGGCAAGACTTACATAACACAAGTGCAGTTTACTTAAATTAAATCTTTTTCTCAATGTTGGCTAGAAAACTGGCCAAATGCGAGTCGGATTCCGTAACTTAACAAACTTGTACCTGGGAAACAGATCGTCCATATTATGTTTTGAGAAATGCCCGCATAGATTATACCCACAGAACACAGAGATTATACTTATTCAAATTAATAGGTAGGTATAG